GCACGATTGGCCGACTCCGCGAGCGATTTTGGTGGCCCGGCCTTCTCGGCGACGTCACACGCTATTGCGAGTCATGCGAGGTTTGTCGACGCTGCAAATCCCGCAATCATCGTCCGTACGGCGAGTTACGACCACTACCAGTCCCGTTGAGGCGAAGGGAAGCGATTGCCATGGACATTACCGGCCCGTTCCCCAAGCACAAGACCGGAGTGGATGGGATTCTCACGGTGGTCGACCGACTCACCAAGTTCACCATGTTCTTGCCTTGTCGCTATCATGCCAAGGCACCAGGGTTGGCCGAGGTTCTTTACGCCGGTTGGATTCGAACCAAGGGTTACCCCAAGGAAATCGTCTGCGACCGCGACACTCGGTTCATGTCCGATTTTTGGTTGGCACTCATCAAGCGATGGGGCTCATCTCTCAAGCCCAGTTCAGCTCGCCACCCTCAGACCGATGGCCAGACGGAGAGGGCGCATCAGACCGCACAGGTTCTCCTTCGCACTCTCATCCGCCCTGACCAGAAGGACTTGGTTGAGCGGCTGCCGGATGTCGAGTTGGCCTACAACTCATCTATCCACCCGGCTATCGGGATGTCGCCCTTTGAGTTTGAGCACGGCTCGCCGGTCACTTCACCGTTGAACACTATTACTCCACGAACGGCCGAGAGCGACAACCATTTTCTTTTCTTGCGTCGGATGCAAGAGCTTCTTGTCAAGGCACGCGATCAGATGGCTAAGACGCAGCAGCGCATGAGCCAACAGGCCAATCGCCAGCGTCTTCCTTGCCCATTCCGCGCAGGCGACCTTGTTTGGGTTTCCGCAGCGGAATTCAGCCTTGAACAAGACATCTCTCGCAAGCTCATCCCGAAATGGATGGGGCCTTGGTCGATCGTAGCGCCCGCTGGGGACGCACCCGAAGGACCTTCCTTCACGATTCAGCTGCCTGGCCACTTGCCGGTCTACCTAGTCTTTCATTGCTCCAAGTTGGCTCTTTACACGCCAGCGGAACATGACGATTTTCCCGGGAGACGTAAGCAAGACCCACCTTCTATGGACGGTTTTCAAGAGGTCGGCGACATCATCTCCCAGCGACGCTACGGCAACAAGCCAACTRAGTATTTGGTGCACTTTGCATACTGCACACACTGAGTTGACCGTTGGTTAACCCGTGCGGAACTTCAAGCAACAGCTCCAGACGTTATCGCACGCCATGAACGCAAGATGCAAGGCAAGCCGGTTTCTTCAGTTCCACGCCGCGCCCGCGTCCAGGTTCCACCTTCAGATCGTAGGCTTCGCCCTCGCCCCGGCTTGACTTCATAAGGAGGGGGGGGTGTTACATGCTGCGCATGCACACGCAGGCCATTTTCCAGGCCCTGCGCCCTTCAGCCAAAAAGCCTAGAATTCAGCCTGAAAACAGGGGCCTACAGTCCCTGTGTCGTTTCAAACTAAGAATGGCAAGAGCCTTTTTAGCCTGAAACGAAGGGCTATTTTCGGTCGTTTACCAGAACGACCGGCCCTGAAACTCAGGCACCAAACCAGGGTTTCGGGAACAGGGTATTCTTAGCCTGTATCCACGCCAGCCTCAGCAGATGCTGCAGTGCCAGCCCCTGGCACACTTCAGAATTGGCAAGAGCAGCCTCCTCGGCCTGGCTGGCCCTTCAGGCAGTCAGGAGGCAGGCCGTGGATTGGCAAGAGCAGCCTCCTCGGCCTGGCTGGC